TTATTGTGAATCTATTGCTTTAAACTGCAGCATTTGTAAGCTGAAGCAGCGCTATGGCTGCTGGCTCTGCCCACCTCAGCTTTCCAACATGGCAGTGTTAGTTTACCACCAGCTCTGGAAGCTATCATGGGTCTATGCTTTTATCCAAGCAGCGTGTAGCCCAGAAACCTCTTTTTTTGTTTTGTACTAGCAAAGGCTAAATCCACCACTCAGCTTAATGTGCCACTTGCAGAGGCCTCATTCCCATCATACAGCAGGTCGAGCGCACATACTAGGAAGGCACCAGTAGCTCAAACCGGCAGCTGCCGCTCATTTTAGAGAGATAATTAGGAAGCTGTTTTTAGCTCCGTTTTAGAATCTTTTCTCAGGTTTTAGGTGGAAACTCTTACCCCCTCATTGAGCGCCATTATTGTCCATGTCCGTGTCCGTGTGTGTGCGTGTGTGTGCGTGCACACGTGTGTGTGCACATGCATGTGTGTATGTATGTATTAGGCTTGTCCAAAGTGACACTGGTAGGAGAGCAGTTCCTACACCTTCCTCCTTGATGTCAGTGCCGTCCGGTGACTGCTCGTTTGTTCTTCTTCCTTTCGGGTTTTATAGGAACTGTCGCTCCTTCCCAGGCCTCCCTGGCCTGGCCCGTGGCATGGCTCCCGCATTCCTGCACCTCCGGAGGAAGCCCGCCCCCCACCCGCTGTAGAACAGACCTGTCCAGCTCCCACCTCTCGGTATCTGAAGCCCCTTATGAAGTCCAGCAGGAAAACAGTCCAGAAGAGGTTTCGTTCTTGTGTCTGCCTTGTTTTTATCATCCGTTCTTAGCATTCTTTCTTCCATTTCTAGGGAGAGCTAAGCTCTTGAAATGCTAATTCTACCACAAAAGGTGGAAAAAGAGGTTTGATTTTTCTAAAATGCCCTGCGGGCTGAAAAGCATCTTATTAGTTTCACAATTGAGAATTTCTCCTGTGCCGGCTTTGTGTTTCCCAGTGTGACTTAGTGTTGCCTTGCAGATGTTCTCTCTCTCTCTCTCTCTCTCTCTCTCTCTCTCTCTCTCTCTCTCTCTCTCTCTCTCCCCCACCCCCCCCAGGAGCCCAGATTTCAGGCTTAAGCCTTCTCCTCTCACACCTGCTTCATCTCCTCACCTGTTTCCTCCCTCACTGAGAGAACCAAGGCTTTAGGAAACCTCTGCCCCCAGATGTAAAACAAACTAACAAGAATAAAGAAAACTATGGACCAGGCTGTTAGGTGTCTATCAGCTGCCCAGTCCCCTGTTGTCCTTCTGTGAAAGGCTGACATGGTCTCATCCAAAGCCCCTCACTTTCTCTGCCCACTGATTCCATTCTCTCTCATAAAACAAAACAGCTCTGTGGTTTTCTTTTCTTTCCCATAGCCTGATTTTCCTGGCTCCTGGGTCTTTATAACAGTGTACCAGTAGTTTGCTATTGGTTTTCTCATCTTGGAAAAACGAACAATCTCTTGACGCTTGATCTAGACTCATTTCTCCACGCTTACTTTGACCCACCTTGAAGTCAGAAGTCTTGGGAAATGTTGTCTCACTGCCTGTCCTACCCACCCTCCTTTAAACCATACACCAACGTTCCCTTTGGTAAGGTCCCCATGATGTTCATGTTGCTAACCCGATCTGTCACTTTTCTTTCTTTCTTTAATTATTGCTTATGTATATAGGTGTTTTGTCAGCGTGTGTGTCTGTGCAGCTCATGTGTACCTGGTGCCCCCAGAGGCCTTGGGAGTTAGCCATGTGGTTGCTGGGCATTGAACCCAGGGCCTCTGGAAGAGCAGCCAGTGCGTTTAACCACTGAGTCATCTCTTTAGCTCCCGAGTTGTTAGTTTTCAATCTTCATCTTATTTGGTCTGTCAGTAACTGACACTAAGGGCCCTTGAAACACTTTTTTGACTTGATTTCCAACACATGGTAACAATCTTGATTTCTTCCCTGGTTTTGGGTCTTCTCCCTGATCTTGGCTTGTTGCTGAGCTTTGGAGGTCAGCCTTGACCTCTTCCTTATGTGCGTGGACTACTGGACTGTGGCAGGAGTTTAGAGGTTAGGACCATCCATACTGGTGAATCCAGCGTTCACCCTTGCACCTTGACCTGAAGTTTAGGTTTGTAGATATCTACTCTCTGCTCAGCACCTCTGCTTGACTGCTTAATAGGCATTCACAGTTAATGTTCCAGATCTGAATTTTTGGATCATCCTGTCTGCCACCAAACTCATTTTGCACTTTTCACTGTCAGTCAGAGCTAATGGAAGTGATATCATTTCTGTTCCACAAGTCAGAAGCCTTGACTTTTCATCTCTCCTTTCCTGTGTCCAGGCCCTTCTTTCTACCTCACTCCTGACTTCTCTGAATAGACTGTCTTCATCTCTGGCTCTGACAATCGTCTCCAGCTCGCCATGCTTTGCAATCTTTTTGTTTGTTTTCTAATTGATACATGGCTACATTTTACATGGAGCTCATCCAGAGAAGCCATTCTTGTCTGGTACTCATCCCCAGTAGGAGTAGTCTCACACCATGCTTCAATTAATTAGAAAACCCATTAAACATCCAACAGTGAGTGCCTAGTCTCTACGAGCCCTCTGGGATAATGGATAGGACACCTCTTTGGTCGCTTGCAGACCATGGCACTGAAGGTTGGTCAGAAAAGCTGGAGAGATGGCTAGGTGGTTAAGCACGGTTATTGCTCTTATTCCCAGCACCCACATGGCAGCTCACAACTGTCTGTAACTCCAGTTCCAGGGGATCTGACTTCCTCTTCTGGCCTCTGTGGACACCAGGCACGCATGTGACACACAGACATCAATGCAGGCAAAAACACTCATAATATAAAGTAAAAATAAACTAAAAATTTAAAAAGTATCTGGCCTCTATAGAACCAGAGACATAAGGCAGAATGTGGGTGCCAGGTAACGGGGGAAGAGGCCATGGGGAGTGACTGCTAATGGGCTCAGGATTTCTCTTCTGGTCGGGGCGACGGCTGTACAATTCTGGATGTATTCAGTGGTGCTGACTTGTGTGTTTGAATGGGTGACTGTATAGTCTATGTGCTGGTTATACTTCACCACTGTGACACAAGCTGGGGTCATCTGAGAAGAGGGAGCCTCCGGTGAGAAAATGCCTCTGTCCGACTGGCCTGTGGGCAGACCTGTGGAACATCTTCTTGATTAATGAGTGGTATGGCCTAACCCACCGTGGACATTGCTGCCCCTGGGCTGGTGATCCTGGATTGTATAAGACAGCAGGCTGAGCTGGCCAGGGAGCAGCGCTCCTCCATGGTTCTGCTTCCGTTCCTGCCCAGACTTCCCTTCACGGTGGATACAGACTCTGTCTGTAAGATGAAACAAGTCCTTCTCTCTCCGAGTTGGTTTTGGAGAGTGGTTCTTGACAGCAATAGAAACCTAATGAAGACAGTAGGTGACTCATATCTTAACGGAAAGCCAAAACAAACCACGATTACTATGCTGGTGGGAACAGTGTCGTGGCTGAGAAGTGGACAGAGAGTATGTCGGAGACGAGGTCAAAAGGTCAGCTGAAAGGACACTCGTTTGTAATGAGGGTGGGGAGTGGTGTGGTTGCCCTGGCTGGGTGATAACAGTGGCTGAGGCTGGGGGGCGTGGGGAGATTGGAGGTGAGATAGCCATGTCAGGACAGTGGAAGAGGCCAGGCAGGAGAGAAGGTGCACGTGAACCACACGGAGGAGGTTGAAATGCGTGAGAACCGTGTAGTAGTGAGAAGGACCCGCCTGGGGAGCAGAGCCACGCTGAGAACATGACTCCCAGGAGGACTGTGTGGATGAAGAGACTACATGCCATTACCACCGGAGGTGGCCAGCAGAGGCAGGGTTAGCAGGAGAAACACTGGTCTGAGCAGGTTTAAGTTAAATACAGAAGCTGGGTCTTACTTCCTAGTTAGAAGAAGTGTATTCAGGTATCGAAGCCTGCACTGACTGTCTCTGCGGCACCAGCCTTCAGTTGTCGCAAAGAAGTGTAACATTTGTATGACTTGACTACTCGAACCCAAGTCATCCATTGTATCTAGTTCACGGTATTTTCTGTGGAGACTTATGTATTCCAATATACAGCTGAATGGCGACCGTGGAGGTACAAGGCATTACTGAGATTGCAGAGAATTTCCAAGAAGTAATTAAAAAAAAAACAAAACCCACTTTATTATTTTGGAAATGAAGCAATTTCCATAAGAGACGTTTTTATGCAGCTCCTTCTACAAGGTTCTGAAAGTAAGGCTTGCCTGTATCAGATGCTGGAGATGGCTCTGATGGTGACCAGTGGGCCAGGGATGGATGTTTTGCTCTCGTGGACCAGGCTTTCTGGAATCTGAAACTGATTAGTATGGAGGGGAGAGCTTTTATATGTCACTGGTGGTGGCACACGCCTTTAATCTTAGCACTCGGGAGTTAGAGGCAAGGGGATCTCTGTGAGTTTGAGGCCTGCTTTTTCTACTGAGTGAGTTCCAGGACAGCCAGGGCTACACAGAGAAATCCTGTCTCAAAAAAAAAAAAAAAAAACAACCAGCAACCAACCAAACAACAACAACAAAAGGAGAAAAGGAGGGGGGCTGGAGAGATGGCTCAGAGGTTAAGAGCATTGGCTGCTCTTCCAGAGGTCCTGAGTTCAATTCCCAGCACCCACGTGGCGGCTCACAACTGTCTGTAACTCCAATTCCAGAAAACGGAAGATATAATTTAGACAGCACATTTGGAATTAGGGCCATGTGCCAAGGAGTCTTGGGAGAAAAGTGTACACCGTACGTGGACATCCTCATTTAACAGGTGTCAGCAGAAGCCCTTCATTCTGTTGTGCTGAGGTCAGGGGACATGAAAAAGTGTGACCATTTCTGGAAAATGCACACCCTATATAGTGAACAGGTTCTACCACAGTGATGTGGGTGAAGCTTGAAAGTGCATTTAATTTTGCTGACTTTTCTGGCACTCTAATGTTTCTAATTTCTTGGATTTTTTTTTTTCAGGTTACTTGTCTGCAAGACTTTTTTGGTGATGATGATGTTTTTATTGCATGTGGACCTGAAAAATATCGTTATGCTCAAGATGACTTTGTCCTGGATCATAGCGGTGAGGCAATTCACTGACCATCTTTGTAGCTCCTGAAAAGAAGGCTCAGAATTCAGTGACAAACATGTTGAGAACACAGGATACTGGAGAAAGATGACCAAGCATGGGTGGTACTCATCTGTCATTCCAGCTACTCGGGAGGTGGAGGCAGAAGGATCACATGGCTCTAGGAGAACTCTAGGCCAGCCTTGGCAATGTAGGGAGACCTTCTCTCTGAAAACATATATGGAAGGATAATGAATAAACTGTTCATGGTAGTTACCTGAGATTTCTCTTTACATCAGCTTTGTGTGCAACTTTGAAAAACATACATTGTTTATATATTTGTAAAAAGAACTATCTCATGGTTGGGATGAAAAATGCCTATTTATTGATTTTTATCTATTAATGTAGTTTTAACTATTATTTCAATGATTTCAAATGATACTGCTGTAGTAAATGGTTCTTAGGCGGCTAAGGTAGCTCAAGATAATTTAGCCCCACTCTGCATCCTTCTGACTGTCCACAACGAATGAAGTTCTATTCCATTAAGTAGGCGGGGCTAACAGTAACAACAGTGGTGCACAGGCAGAACAACTCTTGCTCTATGTGTAGTAAGCTTATCAGAGCTACTTGGATCTTTGGTTTTTGTTGTTGTTGATAATGGCCCTTGATAGTCTCTTATAGGTAAGGGAAAAAAAGAGCACTATTGATTTTCTCTCTCTCAATTCCTAGTTATTTAACCTTCTTTAAAGATGGGAGTGTAATGGATGTTTTGTAGGCTTTTGTGAAGGTTAAGTGAGTTAACACACACCTACAGCTAGGGATCCATGTGTGTCTTGCTGTTTTTGTATTGTCAGGATTGTAGCACCATCATTACATGGTGAAGGGTTACAGTGGATGCAAATCTCAGATTGACTTCTACCGCAAATACATTTATGGCGGCACAAAGGGGTTCTTTGTTGTGCTTTAAACATCCATTGTTCAATTGTGTTGTCAACTTAAGAGCTCCAGCTTAGGCTTCTGAGGGTATCATATATTAAAGATGCATTAAAACAATGACAGAAATCAAAGGAAACATAAGTTTGAAAACCCACCCCCCAAAAAAAGAAGAAAAAAAAAAAGGAAGGAAGGAAAGAAAGCCTGGTGTGGTAGTAGATGATTTTAATTCTAGCACTTGAGAGGTAGACGTAAGTGAGTTGAGACCAGCATGGTAGACACAGCAGGTTCCAGGCAGCTAAGGTACATAGTGAGGCCTTGCCTTTAAAACAAAACATTCAGAATGCATAGAATTTTGCAAATCTAATCTTGGTCAAGTCACAGATCTCTCCTGATTCTTAAACCTGGGTATAGTCTGAAGTTCCGGGTTATCGGGGTCTGTTTGGGGGCATCCTGCTCATTAGAGGGCCAGTGTCTCCACAGCGTTTTAACAGTCTACACAACACACTTTTGAGACACAATGGGACATAATCTACAATGCTAATTGCTTAGCAGAAACTGGAACTGCCCCGTTTATATTAGGTTTGATTAGAGCCTTTCAGATGTTAACTGGGCTCCCCTGGTGAGTATTCCCTGATTTGTATACTTCACTTGCTAATTTGCCACCCTTGGGAGCTAGATTAAAACTAACTCACATTTTAATCTTTTTGCATAAATTGAAGTGTTCTGAAGTAAATGGAAGACAATATGTTTTCTGATTTATCCCTTATAACAAGCCTATGAAGCACATTTTATTCTTACACTAATATGTTAGGGAGAAATAGGGAGGCTTGGGACATAAGCAAGGTCTTCCTTCTAGCTAGCAAATGTCGATCCATGACTCATCCCAAGCCCGCCTGACTGCAAAACCCGTAATCTTAATTACTCAAATCTGAAGTGATGATTGCAGCTGTAATTTGTTCTGGTTCTCCAAATGCTGTCTTATTTGGTGGCTTATGGAAAGGTCAATGTTATTGTTTAAAGCTATTTTTCTCATTTTTGCTCTTCCATGCTTTGGAGACATGGGTAGCTAGACAGTACAGAGACCCTAAGTTAGAGTTTCATGTCCTTTTGAAGTAAGATGATCGAGGACTTGGAGAGGAGAGTAAAATTGCTGTCTGTGCTGCCCTCTGAACAAGCTGCACACAGATAAACGTGTGGTTTATCTGTGAATGATACTGTACATCCACTTAGGACAGTAGAATTCCTGTGCTCACTAAGAACTCAGTCCCAACAATGACGTGTCACAGATGTATAGTCTAACTAGAGATGTAAACATGACATGTACTTTTTGGAACCATTGCTGCATACATTGAATTTATGGAGCTCAGGGACTGGCAGCTCACCAAGTCCAGCATTCAATTTATAGCCCTGGAAGAATAAAGGATGGCATGGGAAAGAGATTGTTGGGTAATAGCAATAGGGTTGGAGAGTTGCCTTGGTAAGGTGTAAGTGTGAGGACCCAAGTTCAAATCTCCAACACCTCTACAAAAAGCCATGCATGGTGGCCCATGTGTCTGTAACTCCAGTGCTGGGTGGCCCAAACTGGAGGATTCCTGGAGCTCACTGGCCCACCAGCCTAGCAGAATCTCTGAGTTCAGTGACAGAGCTTATCTCAATCTGGTGGAGAGTGACTGAGGAAGATGGCTGGCTTGACTTCTTGCATTCCTGTGATTGCACATGTGCACCCATACACTAGTCACAGGCAGCCAATTGTAGTTGCATGTGCATGCCTTTGGTCAGTGCTGGAATCTGCTTTAACTACAAATACACTTGTGTTCTTTGCAGAATGCCGGGTACTGAAGTCATCTTATTCTCGAGCCTCAGCTGCTAAGTATTCGGGATCCAAAAGCCCAGGGCCCTCCCGCCGCAGCAAGTCACCAGCCTCAGGTAGGAACAGAAAGGCAGTGGATGGTCTTACAGGGGCTGTTCTCTTTAGTTTTCTCACATTTTTATGAACTTAACAGCCTTTACCAGCTTGTGCTCTAGAGCAATGAGAGACAATGAGATTTTTAAAACAAAAGCCTTAGCTCTGTCTTCCGAACGTGTGAGTCTTCCAAGGAACTCTTATGCTTGGTCCTGCCACGTTTTCCTGCAGATAGCCTCACTGTCTAGGCCTCCACTGGCGTGCAATAAACGTATTTCACATTTTGGGGCACTGTTCACGGTATTTTGAATTCTGTGCTTCATAATTGTGGATTTTTATCTTCCTAGTACTACTTCCTGGTACAACACACACAAAGTTCCACACAGAACTATATTGACGTGAAAATTTCCACATTCTTTTTCTTCATCAAACAGCTATTCATAGTAATAATGATAATTCTCAGAAAGGATTACTTAGTTAAATTCTATAAATTTCAGATCCAGATCCTACCAATTTGTCAAAATTTACACTGCTTTGACATTTTTTAACATTAAAACACTCACATTGTATCTCAATAAGTTGGTTTTATGAGTTGATAGTAATCACAAATAATTTTGGTCGTTCAATTTATTGCTAAGGAAGTGATTTTAGAGAAAAAGCATCTGTTTTTACAGGCAGTATTCTGAGTACTGCCCAGCCTGCTGCCCCTTGGAGTGAACTAAACTTGGTTTTCTTTGAAATAAAATGATGATGATTTGACTGGAGAGGCGTCTAGAGGTGCAGAGTGGTCCCAGACCAACCGTTCCAAACGTCAGACTTGGTCAGATGCTCTCCCCCCACCCTCTGCAGCACTCAGCTCACTTCCTCTAGGGCAGGCTGCTGTGTTACTGTCTTTTAGACCTGCTGAATAACCTCTGTCCTTACTGTCTTCTCCTGCTCTGTGCATATGCATGCGTGTGTACAGTAAAGAGGGCTGGCCACACCAGTGCCTGTTCTTCAGCCAAATCCCCAGGTGAGCCGGGAGCCTCACAGCGGTGTCTCTCTGCTGGGTTTTTGTTTCTGTCTTTGGCTGCATTTCTGTTTCCTTTGCTCCATTTCCATGAATGTATCTGGCCTTCTCCTGTGGACATCTGTGCCATACGCAGCGTCTTACAGTGTGCAGACCGCTGCGGCCTCCCTGCACACGACAGAACCACTTAACCTAGGAAGATTGCTGCATGCCCCTCTGTGTAGTTGAAGCACGGTAGTCCAGGGAAAGGCAGCCACCTCTAGGACTTCTGTGTTCCATCGAGCTGTGGGAAATACTCCGTGACTGAAAAGCTAAAGTTTGTTAGCTGAGCCGGGCGGTGGTAGTACAGGCCTTTAGTCCCAGCACTCAGGAGGCAGAGTCAGGCAGATCCCTGTGAGTTTGAGGCCAGCCTGGTCTACAGAGTGATGAGTTTCAGGACAGCCAGGGCTACCCAGAGAAACCCTGTCTCAGAAAACAAATTTGTTATCAATAAATATATGGAAGGAATTTCTAACCTCACACTTTGCCCATACCTGTGTTAAAGGTTTAGGAATCATTAAAAGCTTCTAGTTCAAAGTGCATTATGATGGCCTGCGCCAGACTAAGATAAGATGTTTGCTGCATGCACATAGAAGGAGGCAGCCAACACTGCATCTTTGTAGTTGGGAGGCAGTTATTTTCATACAGCGCTTTACATTCAGACTTTCCGAATATGTGCAGTTGACACTGGGTTTTTTTTAACCAAAGGTATCTATCTCTCTGACATTAACCTTATTTTAAATCGTGTTGACTCTGTGGTGTCTTAAAACTGGAAATGTCAATGGAGCATACATGTGTTTGGGTATACTTTTCTGGCTGAGTGATGCCTAGCTTTTGTTCCAAGTGACAGGTTTATAGATGCTTGTCATGTCAGGAAAACGATTAAAAAAAAGTAGAGAGAGCGGTCCAAGAGAGTCAGGTATGATTAATTCAACTTTGTCACCTGAGGTCTGAAGAGGAAACTTACTGAACTAATAATATTTCATGGCCACATTTGTCTTCAGACCATCTAGTGTTCTATGACAAAGCCCAGTGAATACTTAAATGACTTTTTTTTTTAATCTGAATTTGCAATGCTTAATAACTGATTGAGGACTAGCATTTCAGCATGTTAAATCTTCAGCTGAATCCATATTCGGGTAGTGTCAGCCTCAGACTCCTCAGTGAAAGTCGTGAGACTTGAAAGCCACATCTTGAAAGGCAAAGAGTCTTCAGAGGAGGCCTTTGGAAGCCTGTTTAGCACTGTAGAATGCTGGAAGTCCCTGCCAGTGCTGGCGCTCCCCAGTGACTCTACAACGTGCTGCTGTGTTACCAGGAGTGTTTTCTACTCATTCTCTGACAAGGGACGGAGAGTGTTGGGTTACAAGAAGCCACAGTATTAGAAGCAGTAGTGCTTGCTTGTACAGAGGCTTTGCCGTGCTGGTACCTATAGTCCAGCTCTTCAGGAGGCTAAGGTAGGAGATTTGAAGTGAACCTGGGCAATGCAGCAAGGCCCTGTCTTTAAATAGCAGCAGCAGCAGCAGCAGCAGCAGCAGCAGCAGCAGCAGCAGCAGCAGCAGCAGCAATAACAACAACAGCCAAGACTTCAGGGATTAGCTGGAATTTCAGACAGTAACTTTATAAACATAATATTGTTCATGTCAGTCTTAGGCTACTAAGAGCTGCTTTGAGAGACATTTCTGAGTCTACTTAATCTTCTAACAAAACTCTGTGTAAATAGCTAAATAGTGTGTTGAAATACATAGATAGTAAAGTAGATAACCATCTAGTCAATCTAACTATTATTTGAGTCTTATAAATACTGCTTTTAGGGGCTGGAGAGGTGGCTGAGTGGTTAAGACCAGCCATGAGATCCTAGCACTAACATCGCAGCAAGGTGTCCTGTGGATGCCTGTAATCCCAGTTGTGATTACAGTGAGGTGGAGGCAGGGTCACTGGAGCTTGCTGGCTTCCAACATAGCAAAGAAAACTCAAACCATAGGTCCAGGGAGAGAGCCCACCACTGTCTGCCTAGAGAGTGATGGATGAGGATGTCCAATACCCTCTTCTGGCCTCTGTTGCACATACTTATGGCCATATAGTCAACACACACACACACACACACACACACACACACACACACACACACACACACACACACACACGAAAAACTAGATAACCAAGTGATTTAAAATTAGGAAAATTGAAAGTTTGGGGGATTAAAAATATTGAAAAAGATCCTATCTACTGATTGTAAAAGCACAATAAAATAGACAAAATTGACTTCATAAACCCAGCCATCCCTGTTCACAAACGATTTGGCTGACCGTATATGCTCCTCAGTCTGCAGTCTCTGCCTCCACTCAGGAACTGGCACTCCCTTTTGAGTCGCCTGTGTGAGATGTCTGCCTTCACATTTGACTTTCTACACTTAATTCAGGTGATTTAAAATAATACCGTCTGCCTCTTATGTTTAGGGGTGGGGGGCTTCATTCTGCTTTTCATGAAGATGAATGGCAGCTTTCATCTACTTTGGGGAAAGCTCTTGAGGATTACTTTTGAAGTAAGAGGGATTACAAGTACTTTTAAGAGGAGAACAAACAACTAATCCCAGATATTAACTACGAGCTTCATGAGATCACTGCAGAAACAGATCTAGATGATGGGATTGGGAATGTGCGTAAAGGGCACTGAGATGGTTGGCCAGCACTCTGCAGGCTAGAATCTGTGATTGAGCTCCCCTACAAACAGGATTAGCCATCCTTTGCTCAGCAGACTCCAAGCTTTCTACCAAAGTGTGTGGAGGTGCACAAGGCGAAGGCCGTATGTAGAAAACTGCCAGCATTTGCTAAAGAACGGGGACATTCAGCTGAAGAAAATGGAGGGTTAGAAATAACTAGCCTATATTAAAAAGTACTTGACTAGTTTATCTTTTAATGGCCTTCAATCAAATATTAGTATAAGAAATAGTTGCTTTCTCTTTCCTTAAGAATATACATAAAGGTTGGGGTTGTAGTTCAGTGGTAGAGCATGTGCTCAGCATGTATGAAAAGCTTAGCTCAATTCTGAGCACCAAAAGGGGAATGGGAGGAAGGCAGGTACACACACACACACACACACACACACACACACACACACACACACACACACACACTTACTTGTGTATTTGGATTACAGTCTAATTGATTTAAAAGAGCCATACACATTTCTCAGTGACTCACATTAGTATACACCAAGATGAAGATGGATAGTGGCGGCTTGTAATGGCCTTCATCACAGACCATCACAAACATAGGCATTTGTCAGTGTTTTCTAGAAGGCAGGTTGTACGGACAGGGTCTCTTGCTCACACCTGTAATTCCATGATTGTCTTCTGTATTTGTTTATATCATTGTTGGGACACAATTATTGCAGATAATTTCACTCCTTGTCTGACTTTGTCTGTAACGCCGTAAGATACATTGCTTTTGCTTTTTGCTGATTCGTCACCTGCTTTGGGCTTTAAATGAAGCAAAGCTTCATGGGAGCCATTTTGTGCATGTGCTTAGTGTTTCCACAGTCTGGTTGTTTGGAGTTTTGATGACTGTCTCCTTCGTTGTTCCCTGGTCCAGTGAACGGAACTCCCAGCAGCCAGCTCTCCACTCCTAAGTCCACGAAGTCCTCTAGTTCCTCTCCAACCAGCCCGGGAAGCTTCAGAGGATTGAAGGTATGAAAGAAGAGAGCCGGCGCGCTTCTGTGAGTCTGTTGTTTGTGTGGTTTCACCGTTAGGTTTGTTTGTGAGCTTGGAAAGGCTGAGCTGGATCCTGTCGTCACGTTAGCTGGCCTCCCTAACTCCTCTCGCACGGGCGCATTCACGTCCTGTGAGACTGCACAGTTGTGATGGGTTGAGCAAAATGTGGTCAACGTACAGGAAATTATTATTCTGACTAGTGTAGATGATTTGCAAGTGGCAAAGCATTGGAAAACACCGTAATTCATTTTAAAAGGCCCTTTGGAATCATGATTTTAATATGGCTAAGGTAATTTGACTTTACTGAAGTCTGCAACATGGGAGAACTATCAATGTGTCATTTACACCCGCAGGAAGATAGCACAAGAAGAACAGGTACATTTTGGTGAGGAATTTAGACATAAATAGACATTAGCTATGATGTTAAAAAATACAGAGAGTAGCAGCAAAATTAGTGGTTGGTTTAATAACACCTACCTAACAGGGGGATTATGAATGCACAGAGCTGACATTTGCAAAATTTTGATGTTTCATTTGATTTAATAAATCCCAGTGCTTTAAAATTTATAAAATATGTCTGGTAAAACAGCAGAAATAATTGGTGTTAAACATCGAATTTCTTTTATTGACACAATCAGATTATTTATGTGGTAAATGCTTTGAAAATACTAAAGTTTATACAAAGCCATGAATGTATGTATGTGTTCCTTAGTGTTAAGTTGTATCAGATACACCAGTATCAAAAATACAGTCTCGGCCGGGCAGCAGCAGCACACGCCTTTAATCCCAGCACTTAGGAGGCAGAGCCAGGTGTATATCTGTGAGTTCAAGGCCAGCCTGGTCTACAGAGCGAGATCCAGGACAGGCACCAAAGCTACGCAGAGAAACCCTGTCTCAAAATAAATAAATAAATAAATAAATAAATAAATACAGTCTCTCTGAAAATGGTTGCTTAAACACCTCAAAAAACACAAAGTTTTCTTTAGGAATGTTGAAGAATCTTTTTGATTATTATAATGAATGGCAAAAATTTCTTACCATTGCTGTGTGAATAAGGAATGAAAACCTGCCAAGTCTAGAATCTTGATACCTTGAAGAGATGCAGGAGGTCTTGGTTCTCAGCTTCCCAAAGTGGGTAGCATTATCCACCTGGGTGTAAGCTCATCTTGCCCTACCCTGAGAAGGATGTGACAACAGAAAAAGTATAATGTGGATATACAAGGCAATATGGATTGCCTTGGTTTGTGCTTGCTTGGTTATGAACCTCAGTGAAGTGTGGGATGAGACTGGTAGTACACGTAGGGATAATGTATAGCTTGTACCTACTCCTCATTACAGGACACACTTGTTAGAATTAGCCAGGGTGGTGGCTCCAGCTTGTAATCTCAACATGCAGGAGGCAGAGGCAGGAGGATTGCTACAAGTTCAAGGCTAGTCTGGTTTGCATGGTGAGTTCTAGGGAATCTGGGACTACAGAATAAGACCCTATCTTTAAAAAGAAAGAGAGAGAGAGAGAGAGAGAGAGAGAGAGAGAGAGAGAGAGAGAGAGAGAGAAACCCAGGTAGTTAAGTAAGTAAAGGCTGACGGCCACATGACCTGAGTGTGATCACTAGACCCTCATAGCAGAAGATACTTGACTCTTACATGTTGTCTTCTGTTGCGGTAGCGCCCGCGCTACCACCACCCGTTCACCATGTCTGAGCGAGGGGCTGTGGATTAAAAAATAGAGAAACAGCGAGTCATTTGCCATAGCAGAATGCCGAATGCTGTTTATTGAAGGAGGGAGGAAACCTTAAATACAGGCTTACAGCACAATGGAGGATCCCTGGAGGGCAGAAGTTTACACCAAATGCAGGATACATGAACAAAGAACCTCCGGTGATCATTCAGGAAGAAGGAAACCAGCAGGGAGTCAGCATAGGGAGGACATCTGGTCAAGGTCGGCAAGCAGGCAACAGTTTACTCAATATGGGAAGCCAGGGCCCTACAGGTCCCCCCTTTTAACTAAAAAATGAGCTTTTGACTTAGATTGCGTGGGACATTAGCAGGTCACCTTACCCATCATGGAGACACCTGCCCAGGCCACACAGGCACTCTGTCTTAGGTTGGTGAGCACCCCTCAGGCATTACCCATCTCTGAACACTCATTATCATACAGACTCAACCACGTGAGCTGTAGAGTTAACTGCTGCCAAAGATCTCAAAGTGGCGCTGGGCTTGCAATCTGTGTGTTCGACACAGAAAAGACCAACAGAAGTCCAAACCCACCCATAATCCAGTAGGCTAAAGGCAATTGAGCCATTCCCTTCCTTAACGAGCCTTACTGCAAATTGGAGTCCTCATAAGGTGGTATCCCATAGGCAAGTGGAACTTGAGTTTATATATTTACAACTATCAAAGCCAATTCAAATGTATAACTGTTGAATTAAATTTATCATGCCCAATAGAATGAAAGATTAACTAATTGTGGTAGCTACTTTTGTTGCCAGGGTCTCCATTGGGCTAGCTGTAGTAACCAATTATGAAATAGCAATCCCAGAAACAGTAGCAGCAGTGGCCACCACCGCTATAACATTAACAATGGCAACAGCGATGTCATATTCTCTTCTGGACCGTGTGAGCATCATCTGTGTCTAACTGCCATTGTCCACTGGCATGGACACAGCTCCAGGAACATGAACCACCAAGGCCCATTTTTCTTGATCCCAGCACGACTTAAGCTGTCAGCTCTGCAAAAGAACAACTAAGAACCATAAAGAAAAAACAGATAGCAAACAAGGAGCAGAACTAATGGTCTCATTATGGCTACATTCAGGCTCACAAATTTTAAGGTATCTTCAAAAAAGCTAGATGAATTTCAGGAGACCAATAAAAGTTACACAGAGCCACTCCTGAAAAGTAGGTACTATACCAGCTTGAAGAGGATTTCGAAAATGAAAAAAGGCTTAGTTGGCATGCTATTGTTAATAAATGAAGGTCAGTGACCTTCAGAGTTATCCTTAATCTCTAAGGTGTCTGTGTGACACATTCTCAAACATACTTGAAAGAGCAGTTACCATACACTACCTTCTGGAGAATCCAACTGCGTGGCTACAGTTCCTAGGCTTACATTAATGCTTGCCAAGGCTGGCCATATTGGGCTCTCAATCCCCATTGGCATCAGAAGTGGAGAGTTTTTCACAAAGGCCCAATAGGTCTCTGCCATGTTGGGATTCAGCAGCAGCCACAGGGCGCACACAGCACTCAGGAACCTCATTGTCCTGTGGAAAGACTCAAACAGAACCCCAGGCCCACACCAACACCGGATCGGGTTCCCTCCAAGTGCCAGTAGAAAGAGCCTTCTATCGCACCAGAGGATGATTTGCAACAGGAGCCCTCCAGTGCTTATCTGCAGCAGATACTCCAGCAGAATCCACCGATAAAAAATTTAAAATATATAAAACAAGGGAGAGGGTAGAATGTGGAGAGGAGAGATGAGCCCCTAGCTCCCCCCTTTTTACTTTAGCAAAATATGTTTTTAAGGTACGATGGCAGCATTCTACTATAGCCTGCCCTTGAGAATTATAAAGAATACCAGTCTTATCAACAATAGAAAAATCTTGGCAGAATTTTGAAAAGCCCATACTGATGTAGGCGGGACCATTATCAGTCTTTATGTTCTTTGGCACTCCCATATAAACAAAAGCATGAAGACAATGATTCTTGACATCCTTAACCTTTTTACCTGAATGGGCAGAGGCAAAAATTAGAGAAGAATATGTATCAATAGACACATTGACATATTGTAATTTTTTAAAGGAAGACACGTGTGTGATGGTCTTCTGACTTCTGCATGCAAACACATGCATGTGCATACACACACAGAAGCACACACTAAATAGATGTAATTAAAACTATTTTATGAGTTTGAGAGATGGCTCAGCAGTTTAGAGCATTGGCTGCTCTTATAGAGGACCCAGATTTGATTCCCAGAACCTGGCACTCAAAACTGTTTGAAACTCCAGTTCCAGGAGATATAATATCCTCTTCTGTGTTCTCTTGATAGTAGGCACACACACAGGAAACATTCCTGCACATTAAAAAAATAAACTAATAAATCTTTAAATAAATATATTAAAAATTTAAAGGCATTTTTCCTGAAGTATTAAATTGGCTAAGGCTTGTTTATACTGTGATTGATTTCTTAATTGTCAGTTTGTTGAAAAGGAAAAAACTTAGATGAAATAAAACTAGTAGTTGGCTGAATGTTTTCAAAGCCGTTCCTGGTTTTGGTAGCATCCCTATGGAGTACAGCTGCTGCCTTCACATTGCAGTCATGAAAGATCATGTAGAGGAAGCAAGATAATCTTCAAATTGTGAATAATTTCTGAAGAGTGTGGAGTCTAAGATGATCGAGTGGTGGCTACTGAATTCAAATTCTTCAGACCCCAAACTGACCAGTGTTAGGACGATGGAAAGTGTTTTGTGCTAGTCAGCCTCCTGTGATTGTAACAAGACCTGAAGATGACCAGCGAGAGAGGAAAGGTTCATGTGAGCCCACTATTCTTGAGTTTGGGTTTATGGTTGCTCAGCCCAGTGGATCTGTGGTGGCCTAGTACATCATGCCTACTTCATGACCAGGGGGTAAAGAAAAGACAAGGGATCCAGTCCCACAGCCCCTCAGCCCCTTAGGGGTACTACCCCAGTGACCTAAGTACCTTGTACTGGGCCCCACCTTCTAAAGTGCCCCCCCTCTCCCGGCACACACACACCGCCCCATAATACCTTCTCGAGGAGCAAGCCCCCTGTACGTGTACCTTTATGGTAGGCATACAATCTAAACTACAGCAACCAGTTAGAATTTTAGGGTCTTGTGTAGGTAGTCTTAAAGGGAAAAAGGAATTAGTCTGGCCTCTTACTGAAGATGGTCAAACAGCCTGGGAGAATACCAAAAGGAAAAGTGGACCATTTCAGTAGGGCTTGGTATGATGGAGACC